TTTTCCTTGATGAATCCCTTGATTGCTAGAGCAATATGAAGTGTGAAGTGATTAAGCTTTTGATCTTCAAGGCTACTTTTGGTTCTTGTCCTTCTAGGCATGCCCCATGGACTTGGCAATTATCAATGATGGGAGAGAAATTCTTGCAATTGAACATCTCTTCAATCCTTTGCTGGTCAAAGCTTTCTCCATGGATGAATATTTCTAAAGTGTCTTGATTGATGAAGAATTGTGCTTGACAATGTATGAACCCATATTTCAATTATTGAAGATAAAGAGTCAAACAAGATTATGGGGTTGCAAGAAAATAAATAAACATGGATGCAAGAATAATAGATAAAGGATGTAGTAACATAAATATGCTCAAAAGTGGTAATGCTCAAAAGTGGTAATGTGTGTGAAGTTGTATCCTAAAACATGGATTTTTCTTCATTGGGCATTCCAAGCAGATCTCATAGGAGAAGTTGATAGTTGACTATAGCAACATTAAGATGGCACATAAGAAATATCACTCATTTGCACATGGCTAAAATCTTGAACTCTTTTAGTGTTTGGCATTACCCTCAAAAAGATCCATGACTAAAAATGCTACTTATCTAAAGAATGATGTCCAAATGTAGAAAGTGAATAACAAATCATACCTCAAGTATATATGAGAGCAAAAACCTATCATAGGCAGAGAAAAGGTTAATGAAGTAAAATGCCCCTTTATGTCCAAGACATGGGACCCCAAACTTCATGGGTGGGATGCTAAGGGAAACTTGTCCTATGTGGGTATTTCTATAAGTCCACTACATACTTTCCTAAAAGGCATTAGGCCTTCTCAACCATTTATCATTTCAAAATTAGTGGGAGATATTTCCAAAAGTTAATACACAAAATGACATTACATCATTAGGTGTTATATTAACCAATGGAAATAACTTAATGGGAATTGATCTTACTCCTCAAAGCAAGAAGAGTTGCTTTTCCAAGCTAGATTTGTAAGGGTTCTAGACTTAGAGGTTGGGTTTACCTCAGACACGTACCTAATGCAAAAATGAGAGTGAGTGTGTGTAAAGGGCATGCCCCTCCAATAACTAGTACAAAGGCAACCACATGAATAGAAACATATATCCCACAATAAGTAGATAAAGGAAATAAGTGGATAAAGCATGTAATGCACCCAATAGGTATAACATGCTCAAACAAATGTACTTGCACAACAAGAAGGGGTCTCCTAGTACTCCTATGCCAAATGCAAAAGGTTAACAACATAGAGCAACCAACACTCAGCATACAACAATGTATAAATAATTGCATAAGAGGGAAAGGACCCACCAAATACTCCATAGCTAAATGTAAAAGGTAAAGACACCCACGTACAAGCAAATAGGCTTGTAAGCATGATGTAGGATGAGCTAATTTCTCTCTAACTAGAGTACTAGTCAATTTAAGTAATATAATGATGAAAATCAAGTATCGTTCTACAGAGATTCTAGACTAATTAATTACTAAAATTTACTAACTCTAATTTTATTTGAATAATTGTAATTAAATGGTTTGAATGAACTAATTAACTAAACTAATTAAAGAAACACTAAATTAACCTTAAGTAACACCAAGAGTTAAAATTCTAAGGCATCTAATTCTGCAATAGTCAACTAATATAAAATTTAGATTAATATACTTCAAAGGTATTTATTACTCATGTGATATCGAGATTTCCTATTTTATTAAATATACTTTTTCAACTTATACTAAACCTATCTTAATCTATTAATCCATTATATCTCTATGTGAATTTAAATAGATAAAGATGCATTATATTCTATGAAATTCCCTAATTTATGTAGAAAATCAAGTCCACTTATTACTAAGGTTGCACAAATCATGCTGCTCTATCTTTGGATTTTGTTCAATTCACGTTATATATTATTAAAAGCTATTGCATAAAATCTCATCTTGGTCTCAATTATACTCTTCAAATCAATTTTAATAGTGACTAATCATTGAAAAGTATTAAGAATAATAATATATACCCCACATGAAATAATAAACTTTAAAAGTATAAAAATCATGAAATTCTATATTAAATTAATCAGGTTATATCATAACCTTAAATAGCTAAATTAGTTTTTAATTAAAGAAAAGAAAATAAAGTCTCATGATGAATATAAAAGTATTTAACATCATAAAATAAAATTTAAGAATAAGTAAAACTAGTTTGACAATATAAAGTTTTGAGTTTTATCTTCTTTTGAAGTTGAATTCCTCTTCTTTTGATATTGAATTTTTCTTAGCTGTCTCTTTCTTGATCTCCCCACAAAAGCCTTAAATCTAGTTTTTGAAAGGGTATTTATAGAGTTAAAAAAATCCTATTAAAGAATAAGTAGAACTTAGGACCAAAAAAAAAAAAGAATTACTAATGTTGAACGTGCTTTTAGTGTTTATACAAGCGTCTAGGTGTTAACAGTTCTGTTTATTTCACGCAAATAGGAATGCTTAACGCATGGTGCTCACACAACGAAATATGTGCTGACATCACACTTTGTAGCAGATTTGGTAAAACAACAGATTTGATCCTCCAGCTTTTATACAATGGGCGCTTTGATCCTATAACTTAAGATTCATTCATTTAGGTTCCAAAAAGGAAATTTTCTTCTCTCAATTCAGTCCCTCAACTTTCAAAAGATATTCAATTAATCCCAAAAACTCTTATTATGCATTCAAGTCCTTTTCTGCACAAAGAATGAGAATTATGTAAAATCTATTGAAAATATATATTGTTCATGCAAATAGTAATAAAATCAAGGCTAAAATAATAGAGTAAAGCATATAAAATGCTTCTCATCAATGCGTGAACATGTGGGAGCATATGATGCATGAACATGTGAGAATATATGATGCATGTCATGATGTAGCAAAATAAGCACTAAACAACAAAAAGGTAAAAGTAACCACCAAAGAATCAAGCCACAAGCAAGGCTCAAATAATGAAAGACTCAACAACTAAATAAAATCAAAATCTAACAAATCCCCTAAGTTAAAATATTAACTCGACCCTCGTGAACCTAGAATATGGAAAACTAAAGATTCTGGGTTCGGTTCCCTAGTAGAGTTGCCAATTTGTTATGACCACTTAAAAATAAAATTATTTTGTAAGGGAAAAAGACTAAGAAAATTAGAGTCACCACTCACCCAAATTATAAGGTGGGATGAGTTACCTAAAATAGTTTGTGTAGAGATCAAGATCAAGGTTTAAGGATTTAGTTAGAAGTGAGAAAAGACAAGCACACACCTCACCATCCTTTGTGTAAACACAATTGCGTACTTTAAAGTAGAGGTTTTAATTCAACTTATTTATTCTTAGGTTTTAATTAAGTAAGCTTGAAAAGGAAATAGGTAAATTTGTAACATTTGAAAAACTTTGGGACTGAATTAGAAAAAATCAAGAACATGCATACACAATTGCTACAAATTAAAATTTAAGGGACTAATTTAACTAAATTTGAGAAAGGAGTACTAATTCAAAACTATTGAAAACTTGTGGACTAAATTACTTGATCACAAAAAGTTTTTTGGGTGAAACTAAAATTCAGTAAAAGACAGTTTTTACTTTGAGTAAGAAAAGTAGACACTTGAACTTAATTAATTATGACAATTAGTTTAATTGAATAGTTAATTTAGCACTAATCAAGATTAATTAGAACTAATTCATTACACTTAGTAGTTTCTAATCAAAATAATTAAGTAAATCTAATTATCTTGATTAAGACCAATAAATTTAATTAATTTACTTTAATTAAAACTACGTCCATTAATTATACACTAAACTAATTATCATAATCATTTTTATTATTATTATTTTTTTAGTTTTTATCTATAATTCCTAAACTAAAATGGGTGACATTAACCCAATCCAAAAACATGACCCAAACACTTAAATAGGTGAAGAACAGATCAAACAACACGCTACATTTTTTTCTTTTTTAAATTTAATGTTCATAGCATTCATGACTTTTAATAAAAAATTCAACCAAAAAAGTAGTGGAAATCGCATCAACACACAACTCACAAACGTAAAAAGTACATATGGAAATTCATACTAAAATTTCATTATCATCCACAAAGATCCTCAACCAACAATAAAAAAACCCAAAAAAAAAATATTCACAGAATTCCATACAATGAAAAGGGCAATTTGGGTAGCCAAATCAAAGTCCAATTTAGGTAGCCAAATCAAAGTCCAATTTAGGGTACCGCACCCACATGATAAGGCCCAAATCGTCGTAGCTCTAGACTTCGATCTTTATGCACATCACGTTTAGGCGCTCGCCACAATTTATAATTTGAGCAAGTGGTAACACTTTATTTTCACATTTTCACACTTAATTACCAATTTATATTTAAATTTTAAGTGATCGTCAATAGTGGCTAGTTATCTTTATTAATTGATGATTCTTAGACTCACTTAAAATGTCTTTTTGAGAAGAAACTTAGTAAAAATGATTATGAATGATAACTATGCCTGCTCGAATGGTGCCTTATGTGAATTCGATAACTATATGGACACCAATATAGCTATTGTTCCTCAAAGCTGGTCGATTTCATTAGGTAATGTTTCTATTTCTAGTTTTTCTTTAGTAGCAACTATAGGTTCAGATTAATTTTAAGGACATGGAGTGTATGAGTACGATATCAATTTATGATGTGCAAATATTTACGTTTCAAAATTAACTCGTTTCGACCTTGTTTATAGTTTCACTTTTTTCTCAGTGTGTGAAACTATCAAAATCACAAGGACAAATTTGATTTCTGGGCAATGACTTTCTCAAATTTGCTATAGTACTCTCCCCCATCTTACAATGTTTTTTCATTTAATTTTGCCATCCAATGTTTCTTTCTCCCCTTCATCTGATAGCGATGGCATTTTGGTCATTTCCCTACTAAAATAATTTGCTGATTGTTCATAGAGGTTGTTTTGTTGTTCATAGAGGTTGTTTTCTCTGTTTGTCATTGTTGCTTCGGGTCTCCCTTTCTTTCTCAGAGCATGACTTTTAGGTCTTTTTGCTTTCCTGTGTTTTCATAGAGTTTAAGTTGATCTATTTCCTCTTTTGTGTTTGATTCAGTCTTCTAGAATCTAGTCTTTGGTCATTGATGGTTCCCAAATCCCTTGTCCAGCATGAAAACCCTAGATATATTTCCTTTCATCAACATCTTTTCCACTCGAGGTTAGACTTGAACGCCTTTCATCCACACATCGAGAAGAGAAACTGAGGTGAGAATGTTAAGAATGCTAGGGATTTAAGGTCAAAATAGTTAAATAGCATCTGGAAAGGTGAGTATAGAGCTACCCAGCCAAAGCATTTTTGCTTTTTCCAATTTCTTTTGGCTGGGTTTTGTTGTTTGTTTTCTGGTGTTACATGGCAAGATCGTTTTTATGGCTATCTTAGATTTTCCTCTTAGTTTTACTTGAATTATCCAAGTTTCGTTGAATTTAATCCAATTTTGTAACTTAAAATTATATTGAATTTGTTTTCCACTGAAGAATTTTCCCTCGAAACATGGTTTAAATTTAAGATTTGATAGTCTTCTCTATGTTGGTTTTTTTTTTTTAAAGATAATGGATACCAACAATTGGAGGCCTAATGTTCCTAATGGAGAGCCCACCATGGACACGGTTGATTGGAGAACCTAGTTACAGCCTGATTCACGGCAAAGAATTGTTGACAAGATGTAAGTTAAACTATTTTGTGTAAAGTGAAGTGATTGTAGATTGCTTAATTTATTTTTCTAAAGGTTAAGCTTATTGCCTTGAGGGGAACCTTAATATCTATTCCCAGGTTTATTGTTTGTTGTGCAATTAAATCTATAAGAAAGCTGCCAACGACCTAAGATATCTTAGTGGTAATTCTTCTTTTGTCGGAAGTAAAAGGTCTTGAGTTCAAGTCACATGACATGCTAGTGAGGTGGGGGTAAAGGATAGAAGAGAGGGGGTAAAGGATAGGAGAGGGTTACTTCGCATTGTGCAACCAAGATAAAATATATATATATATATATATAAAACTTTTTCTTTACCTTCCTTTACCATCTAATTATTTCCTTTTGTGGTTTTTATTTTGTAGGATTGTTAATTTAAACTCTTCATATTTTAAGTCATCAAAGTATGAATTTGTCATAAAATCAAGTCACAAGTTTTAGGTTATCATCTAATTCATCATTTTTATGGGTTATTAAATATTTTGGGAATATTTCTTCAAAAAGGGGGAAAAAAAAGGGGAATCAAGAAGGATTCCTATGTTCCAAAAAAAAAAAAAAAAGAAATGTTTTCCTATCTAATAAAGGCTAAAGTCAATTACAAGTATTTTTTACTGTTCTTCAAGATGCTAAATATTAGTGCTATATAGTTTAGTTTTTCAAATCCCAGAGGAAGCATGCATGTATATCTATCTAGGAATATAGCAATGTGTATTTGAACATTTGTTGTTTGATGGCTATCAGATGTTCTCTGTCATGCTTTGGTTCCTTCTAAGTTTCTTTTCCTTTATTTCTTTTCCTTTATCTGGTGACAATGTATACATGAGATTTGAAGTGAAATTCTCGTAGAAACTGATATGTTCCATGAATTATTTTTATAGCTGGAAAATAACTACACCACGCAGAGTCATCCCAAAGGGCAAAGAAGAGATAGAGAAGGAGGTAAGAGAGAGGAGGTCAAGAGAGAGCAAAATCTGGTAAGATTCCAGATAGATGGCCAGAAAACCTGAGCCGCCATCTAGCTAGGTAAAACCTATAATTTTATATTTTGTTTATTTCTATGGCAGCTGATTTTTTCTTTGCATTGCTTTAATGGCACATTCTTCTTACCTGGCTAAGCATTGCATTTTGATAGAAAATTACTTTGGTTATATGCAAATTTGTTCGTTATAGGTTTTTATTGTTGTTGCTACAAGTAGTTGTGAAGTTTGTATTTTGTGGCAATTGTTGATGATATATGATTACACTTGCAAGTGTTTATATCTGGGTAAATGCATATTTGATGCTGGATGCGAATTTTTTTTTTTTTTTTACTAATTTTCTTCCTTTTGACTTGGCATTTTTCAGTATCTATTTTCCCCCCCTTATGCTCTTTCTTGCTGGTCATGGTTTCCCTTTACGTGTAGTGAGTATGGCTTCCTCTGGGCTCCTTTTTCTTCTCAATATATTTTTGTCACTATTAATTGGACATAATGTGGATAACCGGCTCATAAATTACAGATAGAGAAGTATGGTTTTTTCTGTGATCTTTTTTTAGCTTTTTATTTTCATGTATGTGTTTTTAAGTGGATGTCTTTACAGTCATACTTACTTTAATTTCTATTTTTGCAATATAATATTTCTTGCAAAGTTCAGATACAAACGTGCTTGGTATATTTAAGTGATGTAGGGGCATCAATTAATCAAGTCTTCTTTATGAGATTTCAACATGTTTGGATTATTGCTAACTGGGAAACGGACAGGGAGATCAAGAGGGTTGGAAAAAGGCCTGTTTTGCAGGGGTTTCATGTTATATAGACTTATTAGAATTAATTTCCCATTTAAATATATCATATAAACTATTTTATACAAAAATATATAACTTAAAATAAAAACTTCAAATTTTAAAATATGTAATCTAAAATTATATAAATTAAACTTCTTTTAATAATAATAATAATAATAATATATACAACCATTTACCCTGGCAAAGTTGGTGGGTCAAGCTTGTTAGAGTGAAATTTGCTCATCACCAAAGTCACGATGTAGACAAAAGTTTATACAAAATAG